TGTACTCATTTGCAGAATGTACATAAATATTTACAGCAAATGCTAGGCAGTTAGCTCGAATTCTCATAATAAACACAAAAATTACCCATGAACACTGTCAACCAGCATAAAACAGAGATGTCGGTCACTTTCTTTAGCTGTACTTGAGAGGATCCCTGCTGGTCCTCTCCATTCTCTCAGTGCCCACAGTGGGACAGGATGCTACCTACAATGTCATGGTTAACTTGATACCTGAATCAACTCACATTATCATTTTGTCTTTGGAGAAGAATCAGAAGTTGCATGCTGCCAGATCTGTTGAACAAAGTACATAAATACATATAGTAATGTTTTTATAAGCCTGCCACTCTGTTGGATAGCACTGGGGAGGTGACTGTCACTATTGCTATTTATGATCGCACCCTTTTTAAAAAACTTATGCATTTGGTACAGTGTCTCACTATGCAGCTTGGACTCACAGTGATCTTCCTGTTTCAGCCTCCCGAGCACTGGGATTACAGGTGTACACCACCATGTCTAGTCTCAGTGGCTAGCTCGGCAGGCCCAGGGTGGGGCTGGCATGGCATGCAGTACAGGAGATCAAACACAGGTCCTTGAACTTGCCAGGCAGGCATTTAGACGGCTGAGCTATCTTCTTGGACTCACAACTTTTAAAGATATTCAGAAAAGAAGATTTCCAGGACTACTTTAGAAAGTTGCAAGATTCATGGCACAACTGTGTTAGAAATGAAGAGTATTTGGAGGGAGATCAATGACAATATGTCCTTTATTGAAATTTTATTGAATCTTTATTAAAATTTACCATATAGTGCAACCAAACCTCATACAATTTTTATGAGCTCAAAAAACATCATGCTGAACTAACAGAGTTAAAATAAATCGGATACACATCCTCAAATGTCCTATGGTTTTTCTGGTTTGGGGAACTGAAAGTATAAAGGATCAAAATATATACTAGATATTATGAAATAGGAATAAGATATTCAAATGAGAAGAGGAACTGGGGGAAAGGAAGGAAGAGAAAAGGAAAAAAGAATAAAATGGAAAATGGAAACAAAGCTTTTGCAAAGAAGGAGGTGAACAGAGTTTGATGGAAGAGAAAGAAAATGGGATAAAAGAAGAATCAAGATATATCATGTACAAGTACAAATTCTTCCTGATGAGTGCTATCATTATGTATAGCTAAAATGTACCAAAAATTAAATTTTTTAAATGTCATATAAATATATTCAGGATGAACAATTAGCAAGAAGCTTAAAACCATTTATATTTTCTGTGGCCATCCAAAACCAATATAGAGGAAAACTACTTCTTTCTTATCTGAAGAGTCTGACAGTTTTAATAATGATGTCAAATGAATTTCTGGGCCTTTTTTCCCAGGTTATTTGTGCTGTGAAGTCCTGTCTTGTGAAATGTCAGATTGTTGCTTTTTCAGGGCCATTTTTAATTTGAATGGACAGGAACAAGATTTCCATTGAAAATTTCAAGATCTGTAGAATATATTAAATTATTTTAACACTATTTTTATTTATGTATTATTATCACCATTATTAAGCACTATAATTTGTGCAGCTGAGTCAATATTCAGCATGCAAGTTCTCTTGGCCAGTTTATAGATCTGCATGGTGAAGCTGAAATGGGAAGTAATGTTTGGTTCAAGAAAGTGCTCTGGGGACCTCTGTGCTACGTAGCTTCATTGTCAACTCTTCCTAAGAAGGTGGAGTTCTTCGATTATCTTACTTAAGAACTTGTTTCACAGTGCAGTGACTAAGGCATTTTAATTGTTCTTGGAAAGTCTATCACAGGTGCAATTACACGTTTAAGAGAGGCAGTATCCTTCTGGATTTAAAACTTTCAGGCTCATTAATTACATATGCTGTTTTGCATATAATAGTAATTAGCTTTCTCTGAGTCTGTTTCTTTAACTATGAAATGTATTACTTAATGGTACCCAACTTATATGATTTTATGAGAATTAAATTAGATGTACAAAGTATTTTTACAGTGCTTATTCTATAGTGGACATCATGTAAGTCTTTTATTATTATTAATTTATCATCAGTCTCTCCTCACACCTTCATTAATGCTTGCAAATTGTACATAACAGGAATTACACTCTTTTCTGACATGGGGCTCTAAGGATGAGAGTGTCTCTTACTTTGTAAATGATTTGATAAATATTTTTAGGGTAAATGAATGGACAAATGAGAATGGACACCAAGGGCTTTCACAAATATTGTCAAAATTGAGCTGTAGAGCTTGGCATTAAAGAACATCAACACTTTTGCCATTTTATAGATTAGAAAACTTAATCTCTGAGAAACTGACCTGAGTCCAGAGCACATTGGAAACATTGTAAATTCTGGGCTTAAACTATAGTCTTCTCATTCCAAATCTCACATTCTTTAACTCAACCTTTTATTTATTTGTTTTTTCAATCTCTAAGTCCTGTCTATAAGAATTTTTTTTTTGGTGGGGGGAGGGAGTGGCTTAGTCCACCCTGAGGGTGAGGCTGGAGCAACATGTGGTGCAGGGGATCAAACCGCAGTACCCTGTGCCTGCCTAAGCTTGCTTAAGCAAGCCCTTTAGAATGCTGAGCTATCTCGCCAGCTCATGTCTATAAGATTTTATTTTATAAAATAAGGAGGCCATTTTCCTTCTTCATTTCACTACATTCTTTTGCACGTAAGCAGTTAGAGTAGATAATGCATACTAAACTCTTAATTCAATGTAAAACATTACATGTAAATGTTAGTAAGGTATCAAGAAAGTTGAACAAAAGCCCCCACACATTCACATGCAAAATAATTTCATTAACAGTAAGTAGTTATTGATTAATCACAAAATAGTTAACAAATGGAATCCACCAACAATTGCAGAATGTATATGTATGAAAAGCTTATGCTGCATTGCTTTATATGTATCATTTAATCAAGCTGATTCATTCATTTCTTCAAATTTACGATGATCTACTCTTAGTTAACTAGATCACATAGTTCTAGTCATTAAGTGATATAAACTTGCTCAAGTTTATGGAGTTTGTGCTGCTTACAAATTATGTCACCAGATCTTTCTGAAGAAGCTATATTTGAGCAGAGGTATGAATTAACTGAGGAGTTAGCTGTGTAATATTAATAGAACAGAGTTCCTGAACAAAGGAGCAGTGAGGCACTGAAAGGCCTGGCTGGCCCTGACCAACCATTGGATCACAGAAGGCTGTAGGTGGGGTTGGAGACCCAGGCAGCGATATGAGGCAGGAACACAGTAGAAAACTTTTAGAATGTTTAGAAAAGAAAATATCAAAAATGAATGCTATTTAAAAGACCATTCTGCCACTGTGTAAGGAACAGTTTGCAAGTTGTGGGGACAGGCAGGGCAGAGCTGTGGAACAGTTAGAAGGCTAGCCACTGTGCTGTTCCTTGCAAGAGACAATGGGAACTGATGGGTTTGAGGGGAGGGGCAGAAAGGACCAGTAGTCAGTTCTGGAAGATAACAAACCTCTTCTACAACTTGTGTTTCTTGTTAAAATAATTGTTAGTTGCAAATAAAGAGATTTGAGAAGTAAAAAGGTGTGAGTGACACAGTGTCAAACTGTGGAAATTACTAGACATCTGTTCCTTTCTTGTCACTGAAACACAACGCTTCAACCAGAAAAGGTTTATTTCAGCTCAAAGTTCAACCAGAAAAGATTTGTTTCAGCTCACAGTCTGAGGAGTTTGCAGTGCAGTCCATGGACAGCTAGCTTCAAGGCAGGGTGGCATGGCAGAAGGGGTTGGGGGCAGTGCACAGCAAAGAGATCAAAGGAAGGAGGGGAAAGACTCACTTAAACAGGCCATATCCCAGGCCCCACCTTCTCCAATCAGGCTTCATCTCCAAGTCGCATTAGTTAGAAATGCATTGGTGCACTAATCCACTAAGTGTTACACACTCACCCTCTAGTCACTTTCCCAAAGCCCCACCTACGAGCCCGTGAGGCTTTGGTATAAACTATTACACTAGAACTGTGGTGTAGTGGGGCCTGCTGAACGCCTGTGATCCTGACTGTCATGAAAGACAAAATCTGTGTTTGTGTGTTTTTCTCCAGTTGCTTTTAGTTGCTAAGAGCAATCAGTTCACCTGAGGCCATGATTTTACCATGTGAGTGTACTGAATTGGGGAGTGAGGTGGGAAATGAGTGACTGTACCACCAGGCTCAAACCCACTGCTGAAAGAAGTAAGTGGAATATGTAGGTGAATGGATGATGTGGTCCTCATGTCGCCAAAGACCAACTGGGGTAGACAGCAGACAACTGGGCTGGGAATTGGCTATCAAAGGTTGATGTGGAAACTTTGAAGATATCCTAGGGCATATGGATCAGGGAGTGGGTTATCTTCATTAGTATAAGAGAATGTTTTGCTTTGGCTTGGTATTTCCTCTCTATCCCTTGACACCTATGGGCTCCCATACAGTTGAGAACAGCCATGTACACTGCCCAAAAGTGAAGGACTTATTTAGGCTTTAATGTCCTCTGAAGACACCCATCTTTTTGATCTTGTGGTAGGAGTATGGCTGTGAACTTAAAACATGTCCTGAACTTTGAGCTCCGTGAGGATGTCACTCATCAATTGTTTCTTTTGATATAGAAGACCCTCACCAGGGCCCCACAGTTGATGGGTTTCAGTGAGTGCCCAGGAGTTCCCCAGGGAGATGGTTAAGAGGAGCAGTCATTCCTAGGTAACAGCCAGATACCAGGCTGAGTTCCCATCACAGCCTGGTTTTTAGTATTGATACATCTGTGGTTTTCATTCAGGTGGAGCCCGTTTTCGTGGTGTAAATGGGTGCCCTAGTCCAGCAACCCGCTCTTTAGGAGTGCAGAAGTTTGCTTCTCTGGCGTGATCTCGGAGGCTTCTCAGAGGGCACTAGGTGCCCCAGCTCCTCCACCTCTTTCCAGCAGAAACCTGGAGTGTGTCTCTCCTTTCCTTTCCGACCCTTGACGTCAATCTCCAACAGTCCTAGAGCAGAGGGAGGGTGACAGAGAGGAGAAGCCATTGCAGCAACAGCTTGGTGGAGGGAGCTGGACATCGCAGGCAACAAACACTGGAACCAGAGCAGGTGCAGGAGCAGGGAAGGAAGAGGACCTGGCGGCGCCAGAACCGCTGGGTTGCTGCAAAGAGGGGCGGAGAGAAGGCGGGGGCGCTCACGCAGCGCGCCGGCTCCAGCTCCAGCGGTGCCGCGGGGAATGTGACATCAGCGGCGCCCGGCGCTTGCGGCTGGAGGAGGCAGCTCGCCTGGGCTGCGCGGTGCACACCTCGCCCGGGGGAGGACGCAGACCCCGGCAGGCAGCCGGGATGTCGGCGAAGGAGAGGCCAAAGGGCAAAGTGATCAAGGACAGCGTCACCCTCTTGCCCTGCTTTTATTTTGTCGAGGTGAGTTGGCCCAGCGCCTTGGCATAATGCAGATCTTCCGAGCAGCTCCGGAGTGAATTCGGCTCCTGGACTGTCTTGGAGGCGAGGAGACCATGCGGGGAGCGAGCTTCTGCCCCCAGTGCCCGACCCTCGCCCTGCCCATCTCCCCGGTTTCTCCGGCGCTCCCCTGGCGGTGCCTGTGCACACCTGCCAGTGCGGGGGCTACCGCTAGGGATGTCACCGCTGGGCGGCCTACGGGAAGGGATACCTGTGTGAGTGTGGGTCTGGCTTCCTGGCCCTGTCTGTCCGCGTGCACAACGCCAGGAGCTGCCCCAGGGGGCCATGATGCCGATGTTTCAGGATTTGCGTCTTCAGTCTACTGAGTGTGTTTAGAACTCTGTAAGGTTTTCATGAGAATTCAAGTGCACGCAGCTGTGCTCAGCGTTGTGTGAGCTGGAGGTGTTTATTTAGTATTAGGGATATTGATCGCTTCTATGCCTCCACCCCTCCCCAAAAAATCCTTCTACTAAAATCGGTTCTTCATTTGTAGGCATCAATCTACTGGCCTTTTTCCATGATATAATATA